CTTGGATCGAGCGCCTGGTCGAAACAACTCAGTTCATTTTCTTTTTGTTTTAACTGTTGTCGTCTCATGCATCGACGCATGAACTCTCTGTGGTAACCGTTTTTTGAAACCAGTTTGAACAGGTAATTGAGTTCGGTTTGGTAGAGTTCGGGTTTAGAACAATCGGTTCTCGCTCGATTGATTTTGGTGGTAACAACACTCCGTTTGTGAGCAACAGGGTGGTTGCGCTCGTAATGTAAGATGATATCCGCGTGCGTGAGACATCAGTTTACCACAAAAAAACGCAAACATGTACATTACGAGTGCAACCACCCCGTTGCTCAAAAATACACATCCTACGGCATACTATCAGTGCCACTAGAATGCATGAACGTATCCAAGTTCCACGTGTTGCGGCTCCCGCAACCTGGTGCCTAGAATCTCAGCACTTGAACCACTGTGGTAGGGGCTTGTTGCCTTACCAAATTAAAAAATGCCTTACAGAATGAAATAACTGTCAAACACAAGGAAGGCTTGAATAACCATTTATGGCTTATACGATTTCATCTGGCAGCCATGCCACTGTGCAAATCCAGTCTCATCGGTTAAACCAGAACCAAGTGTAGCATCACATTTTGCTGGTCTGAATGTGTTTTACGGCAGATCTCAATAGGTAGGAGTTACTTGTGTGGGAAATAAATGCAAATATGGCTTCATTTCTTATTTATTCTGACTCTCTTTTACTCAAATAAATAACGGTTTAACACTGTAAAGGAACTACTTTCTCACCATTCAGCTGCCACGGACGGCACTGTGGGATGTGCAAAATGAACTACAGAAAAAAACGTTGAACCCAGGCAACTTGACATAAAATAGTGAAATAAAACACCTGATTACCCAAGCGAGATATATGCGACCTTATGCTATTGGGTAGCGTAAAGGGGCAGTTGAAGTAATCAGCTCATTAATTAGAAAATCGGGGTATACAGGGACTGTAGACACTGCCCTATTTTATTCCAAAGCTGTCTACCGCCATTTTACATATATCTGGGAAATAACTAGAGGATTTAAGCAGAAAGGAAACCTAATATACACCGACTATAGCATTTTCAGCCACTACAATTAAGGTTTTAATTCAGGGACTTAGGTATGCAATCCCCTATTTCCCTGTCTTGGATCTTTGTAAGGTTTCATAGGAGAGCTCTAATCAAAAGGAACATGAAAGTAGCCTGAAGATTAGCCATGTGCGAAATTCCATGATTTACTGACGCTTACCGATGCATGCATGCACACAATCTTATGAAGTTTTCCGTAGATACTACAGTCAGGAAATATGATGCTGATTCTGCCAAGGATGGGTGTAATGGTCATGATAGTACTGGCAATAAATACTGCGTGATGGACCTTTCCCACTATTCCCATTGTCACGTTTTATCGTCGGCCTCAGGCACCTGGCCAATTCGTTGCTGGAGCCACCTGCATCTTTCCATCGTCCTAGTCAACTTTTCTCGTTCTCCAGTTGGCTACAGGGGCAAAAGAGCAAGTGAGTATAGAGAACCAGGGCTCGTAAGAGAGGACACTGACAGGCAGAATTAGAGCCGATTAGGTAGCCTCGGTCGCAAACCTGCGGTACCCAACAAAAAGGAGAGCACTGTGCAAAAAATAAGATGGTGGGCAGACCACTCTTTCTGTACAAATTAAAATGAGAAGTGTCAGCAAGCAAAAAAAAGCACGGTTTAAAATTTAATGTCACAAAATTGATCCTTAAGTTGTAGTCCTCACAGAGGGCTACTCTGCAATTGGCTAGAGCCAAAGCCATATCCGGCGGGATAACTGTAAGAGTTGATTGAGAGGCGTGTAGTCTGTGGTGGCCCTGTAGCATGAGTTCGCGTGATTTCAGTTCTCTGCCCGCCTCCGGGAAAGGCAATCACAGCTGCTGAAAACTGCGCCAAGGCTCAATTACTTGCGGCCGCTAGCAGATGCACGCGCAACAGCTTTCCTACCCTAATCCGGACTGACCAATCATCTTCCTGCGGCTGACCCACGCAGGACCTCACTGCGATGACTGCCATATTCATACACTTCGGATGCTGCCCCTCTCGGGAAGGGGCACACCCTCGACCGACAGCCAACGTCGTCCTACCTATTTTCCACTACTTCTGTAGAGAATACACTGTGCCTCGTATCTGGCGTCCCACTTTCTCTTCTCATCTACGGCTTACCTGTCATCATCGGCACTAATGCACTAGGACCTGAGTTATAGGTCGGTGAAGTAGCCAGCTATGCCGTGACACCACTAACGCAGGGATTGCAATTTGCCTTCCTTTCGTTAGATCTGCTGATCGAGATGTGTTCGTCAAACTGACGTCTTTAGATGTGAATTGGCGAAACGTAGGGCTGAGTAGGAAGCATCTACAATCAGACCTCCGCCTATTTGTAGTGAAGTATTCGTGGATTATGTTTGGAGAACATATTTGGAATATTCGCAGAACATTTTCATTTTGGATCGTGATCAAATAATTTGTAAGATAAAAGTAATTAAAATAGTCATAGTACATTTGTGAGACTGAATAGAGAGCTAAGTTGCTTATATTTTACCTTCGTAAGATTGAACATTTGTAAGTTTGTTCACACGCGTATATTTTAGCCATATATTTGTTAATACAAGTTTGTAAGTTGATGTTTAAATACTATGAGAATTTTAGGATTTCATATAAGTTATACTTGGAGACAATAAACTAAAGGCATAGCGCGCACTAGCACTCACGCAGGACAATCCACTCAGTTGTCAAAATTGCAAACGGTCCTAAATTTTATTTTCCGTATAACCTCCTACAGAGTATTCTTTGTAGTTTAAGCAGGTAAAATCCTTACACATGCGATCGGAAATCAACGTTCTCTTGTGCTCTGACAGGTTAGTGTGGTGATACCTCTTCGAGACTAATGGAGTGAAACCAACAAAGACTAGGGTGACCCGAATGGCCACTTCTGGCTTATTAGCCATCATCGGATAGTCATTCCCAATCCCAGGTTGAGAGCACCCGAGATTCGAACCCGGGACTTTGATCAAGGAATGCAACAATCTACCATGGCACCACGGTCTTGTTGCTTTTTCGGTTGGGATCACGAATCTAATGTATGGTATGACGCACAACGACCTTTTAGAGAACATGTTCCTTCCATTGTACAGGTCGCTATGCGACAGTCTGTGAGGGCTCTAGTTTAAACTCCAAGTCACAATCGGACGAGCATGTTTCCTAGCCATATCGGTGAGCAACGTAGCATTCAGCATACTTCTGATCACCCGCGGTGCAATGGTAGAGTTTTATGCTACACGACCAAAGTCAAATATTCAAATGCGGGCGTGATCCACAACTGGGATTGGGTATGACTGTAGAATGACGGCTTATAAAACAGGAGTAGCCATTCCAGTCTCCCTTGCTTTTGTCGGTTTCACACGAACGTACACCACAGGTCGCAATGTGACTGCATGCAAGAACTCCCCAGTAAGCTCCAAGGCACAACAGGACATCAATGTCCCTAACCAGCTCGAAGAGCGCCCTACTAAGTTTGCGCATCAGTCCGTGTTTCTCTTTAATAAGAGAGTAATTTAAACTCGTGAATTTTATCACTCGAAACGTGCCGCAGTTTAAAGTTTCTTATTCTATGTCGGAACGGAAGTGGGCTTAGCGTCCAGCTGCCAATTTTGTTTATCATCGTCACGTTCCTTATACGCAGGCGAGCATTATCGATAAAGTCTAGGGAGACCGGGCCGATTGAGTCTCATAGTTGATTGATGAGCACGCATCCACCAGTGTTTCTTACATGTTCAGTGTAGAAGACAACTGTCATTTGGTGGTTGTTTTTCGTCTTCTCAGACCCCGCCTTTAAAACATTCTCACCTGTCCCGTACTACAGAATTCTCAGGTTTCATTCACGTGGTGGTAGTTATAATAGACTGTTACCAACAGTTCCCATTTGGCACTCGTTTGTCCTCTTGTCGTAATTCATCTTGAAACACTAGGGGTCGGTGTCTGTCCAATACGTTTGCGGTGGCAACGAAATTTTCGACCAGTTTATTTTATGACTTATTAGAAAAATAGTGCGTTATGGACATGCGACCTAAAATATTTGCCATGGCTTATTCATACCGAGCACTTCTTCCTTTTAGACGAGTTAGGCGGGAATGAGAAGGAGCAAGCAGGACCAACATGGAAATGCTACCGGGTCCATGGTTTCCATTAGCGCCGGCATGATGAGAACCGGTAAGCGTAGTCTACAGGCTGCTCTACAAAAACTTTTCGATGGACTCTGTTATCATACCTTTGATTCGATGCTGCGTACGCCACAGGATCTCAAATTTTGGGTACAAAGCCTTGAGGACATGGAGCGTGGTGTTTCGCAGACTGATTCAGCCTACTGGGATCGCCTGCTGCATGGTTATAGTGGAACAACGGATTTTCTCGGATCTGTCCTCTTTAAGGAGTTAATGCAAGCTTACCCCAAGGCTAAGGTATGTAGCATTTTGGTAAAATGGACTTATCACTTACTCGCACTTGATACGGCCGTGATCAGGTCTGATGTAGGGGGACACGGAAGGTGCCTCTCCATGCTTGGCGTTAAGCGGCGGTGGACATCGAAACCTCCATTGATTCTTTCTTCCACCGGCGGAGACCGAGAATAGAATGTCAAAGAAACGCCTCTATGGTCTTGCGTTGCCCTTTTCTTTGACATCTCCAGGCGGGCTGCGGCGCCGGATAGAGGGCAGCATAACAAAGCTCGTGAGGCGTGCGGCGACGAATATGCGCAAACTACGTCACAGGTCTTTTTGGATGGCCTGAGATAGCCTCGCGATACTGTCGCATCGATTGCGGACTACCT